CTGGGCACTAACAGGAGTCCAGTCCCTGTGCTCCTCAGAGTCCCAGCAGGAGTCCAGTCCCTGTGCTCCTCAGAGTCCCAGCAGGAGTCCAGTCCCTGTGCTCCTCAGAGTCCCAGCAGGAGTCCAGTCCCTGTGCTCCTCAGAGTCCCAGCAGGAGTCCAGTCCCTGTGCTAGTTCTTGTTCTACAGGCCCAGAGTCCGGTCGTTTTCCACACTCAGAAACGTGTTTTTGTTGCAGCGGCGCAGTATTCTGCACAGACTTCTTCATACTGTGCTGAATACATACTGTGCAAGAATACTTCAGTATTCTTGCCAAAAGCCTCTCACGAGCCGGACAAAAAAACACACACAATGCAATTGTTGCATATGGAAGAATGCTTGAGATTTTTATTTTTATTTTTTCGTGCATGCATTTCTTTGCAAATTTGATCTTTTTTAAATTTATTAATTAATTTATTTATTTCTGTATATATTTATTGTTTTGGCAGCCACGGTCCTCCATAGTAACCGGTGACGAAGACACACAAAGCTTCAGGTTAGCTCCTCGGCTTGTTGTGCTAACTCAGCTGTCTATGCTAACTCAGCTGTCTATGCTAACTCAGCTGTCTATGCTAACTCAGCGGTCTATGCTAACTCAGCTGTCTATGCTAACTCAGCTGTCTATGCTAACTCAGCTGTCTATGCTAACTCAGCTGTCTATGCTAACTCAGCTGTCTATGCTAACTCAGCGGTCTATGCTAACTCAGCTGTCTATGCTAACTCAGCTGTCTATGCTAACTCAGCGGTCTATGCTAACTCAGCTGTCTATGCTAACTCAGCGGTCTATGCTAACTCAGCGGTCTATGCTAACTCAGCGGTCTATGCTAACTCAGCTGTCTATGCTAACTCAGCTGTCTATGCTAACTCAGCGGTCTATGCTAACTCAGCTGTCTATGCTAACTCAGCGGTCTATGCTAACTCAGCTGTCTATGCTAACTCAGCGGTCTATGCTAACTCAGCTGTCTATGCTAACTCAGCGGTCTATGCTAACTCAGCTGTCTATGCTAACTCAGCGGTCTATGCTAACTCAGCTGTCTATGCTAACTCAGCTGTCTATGCTAACTCAGCTGTCTATGCTAACTCAGCGGTCTATGCTAACTCAGCTGTCTTTGCTAACTCAGCGGTCTATGCTAACTCAGCCGTCTATGCTAACGAACCTGTAGATTTCTCACGAAAGTGGGGGACAGTGGTGCGCTGTGATTGGTCACAATCTGCGACCCGAAATCACATCTCTTCCTTGTTTCATCAAAGCTCGATCTAAAATATAATGTCACGCCAGCACACATCTGCGCTACTTTTTCTTCAAAAGGACGTATATCCCAATGCGCTACATGGACAGGGATAGCATTTTTGTAATGAATACAAAAATAAAGTCAGTTAGTGCAGCTTTAAGTTCACGCAGGAAATAGAGACACTGACGAGCTTTCTTAACGACCCGGTCAGTGTTTTTGACCCATTTCAGGTTAGACAGAGTTAAACCCAGAAACTTGCTCCTCTACGATCTGCACCTGGGAGTTATCGATAACAACAGGTGAGTGAGAACTATTGCGACTGAAGTCAAAGACCAGCTCACATTTTTTGGATGCGTTCAACTGGAGATTGTTAGCTTTACTCCACTGAACCACATTTTGGATCTCTGCTCTGTAAGAGGATTCAACGTTATTATTGATGAGACCGATGATGGTGGTGTCATCAGCATATTTGATGATCAAATTTGAGTCAGAGGAGGACACACAATCGTGAGTGTACAAAGTAAAAAGCAAAGGACTCAAAATACATCCCTGAGGAGAACCAGTGCTCACAGAAACAACATCAGAAAAACACTCTCTGAGATCTGTCAGTTAAAAAGATAAAAATCCATTTACACATGGCAACACTTAAACCCAGAGACATGAGCTTTTCAATCAATAGGATCCATAAACTTTTCCAAATGGGACAACAAAGGGCTCTCTCTTCTCGGGAGGACGAACTCTTCTTTGATCCTTCGATGTCGGCTCCTGTCATTGTGAAGCAGAATTCACCAAGCGTTGGATTGTTCACCCACTAATACGGAACGTGAGCTGGGATTAGACCGTCATGAGACAGGTTAGTTTTACTGATGATGTGTTGTTGCAATAGTAATCCCTTCACTCTGGTCTCCCTCACTTGTCTCTCTCTGGTCTCTCTCTAGTCTCTCTCTGGTCTCTCTCTGGTCTCTCTCTGGTCTCTCTATGGTCTCTCTCTGGTCTCTCTATGGTCTCTCTCTGGTCTCTCTCTTGTCTCTCTCTGGTCTCTCTCTGGTCTCCCTCACTTGTCTCTCTCTTGTCTCTCTCTGGTCTCTCTCTGGTCTCTCTCTAGTCTCTCTCTAGTCTCTCTCTGGTCTCTCACTGGTCTCTCTCTGGTCTCTCTCTGGTCTCTCTCTGGTCTCTCTCTGGTCTCTCTCTGGTCTCCCTCACTTGTCTCTCTCTGGTCTCTCTCTGGTCTCTCTCTGGTCTCTCTCTGGTCTCTCTCTGGTCTCTCTCTGGTCTCTCTCTGGTCTCTCTCTGGTCTCTCTCTCTCTGGTCTTTTTTTCTGGTTTATATTTCTTGTATCCCTCTCTCAGGTCTCTCTTGTCTCTCTCTCTCTGATCTCTCTCTCTCTTGTCTCTCTCTCTGGTCTCTCTATCTCTTTTGTCTGTCTCTGGTCTCTCTTTCTGGTCTCTCTTTCTTGTTTCCCTTGGGACCAGAATCTTGCTTTACTTTCTAAACGTTCTAAATAAAATGCACCAGAACAAATGGAGCTCTGGCGACACCTGCAGGATATAATAAGAATAATAATAAATGAGCGTATTCTAAGGATCTCTGAGGAAAAAAATCAACACACTGAGGAAAGGAAAGGCTCTCGGTTGGAGCAGCTATAAAACCAGAGAACTTTAGAATCTTGAGGTGCTGATGGGATTCTTGATTCTGGCTGACCTACACAGGGGAGAAACCTTTCAGCTGCTAATATTGCAAATACAAGACTGAGGCTGTAGACCCAGGACTGAGACTGAAGACCCAGGACTGAGGCTGTAGACCCAGGACTGAGACTGTAGACCCAGAACTGAGGATGTAGACCCAGGACTGAGGATGTAGACCCAGGACTGAGGATGTAGACCCAGGACTGAGACTGTAGACCCAGGACTGAGAGTGTAGACCCAGGACTGAGACTGTAGACCCAGGACTGAGACTGTAGACCCAGGACTGAGAGTGTAGACCCAGGACTGAGACTGAAGACCCAGGACTGAGACTGTGTAGACCCAGGACTGAGACTGAAGCCCCAGGACTGAGGCTGTAGACCCAGGACTGAGGCTGTAGACCCAGGACTGAGACTGAAGCCCCAGGACTGAGGCTGTAGACCCAGGACTGAGACTGTAGACCCAGGACTAAGGCTGTAGACCCAGGACTGAGACTGAAGCCCCAGGACTGAGGCTGTAGACCCAGGACTGAGACTGTAGACCCAGGACTAAGGCTGTAGACCCAGGACTGAGACTGAAGACCCAGGACTGAGACTGTAGACCCAGGACTGAGACTGTGTAGACCCAGGACTGAGACTGTGTAGACCCAGGACTGAGACTGAAGCCCCAGGACTGAGGCTGTGTAGACCCAGGACTGAGACTGTGTAGACCCAGGACTGAGACTGTAGACCCAGGACTGAGACTGTGTAGACCCAGGACTGAGACTGAAGCCCCAGGACTGAGGCTGTAGACCCAGGACTGAGGCTGTAGACCCAGGACTGAGACTGAAGCCCCAGGACTGAGGCTGTAGACCCAGGACTGAGACTGTAGACCCAGGACTGAGACTGTGTAGACCCAGGACTGAGACTGAAGACCCAGGACTGAGTATTGAGACAAACTGAGTGTTTTATATCACACTGATGGCTTTACGTCAAAATAAACATATTCAACCCAAACTCTAGTTGATATCGTAGCTACTGAATGTATTTGTTTATTTTCTAATATTTAGAGCAAAGAGAATCAATTACATTCATGCACATTGTTGTTGTTTACATCGATTAAACAAGGATATTTACACATTTTCCAAGATAGCATGAAAGCAGAAACTTCTCGGGATTTACAAAGACAATATCACAATAAAAACCACACAAGTTTAAGCCCAAATGGTGAGTATGACACAGACGGTTACTGAGTAGTGTAGAAGGCAGAGTATTCCTATTGGGCCCCCCATAGATCCATGATTGGGCCTCATTAAGCAAACTGGTTATTTTAAGAGATACATTTGAATTTTACTTAAAAGGAAAATAAGTAACTGTTGGGAAAAGTTTACCTTAAAAGCAATGTTATCTAAAGAATCAGATCATAGATTAATTATGCATTTGTTTGATTTTTTTTCCAACGCACTGGACTCGTTAGTAGAATTTAAAATGTGTATGCATAGGTTATCTATTTTATTTTTATTTTCATTGCTTGCAGGCTACGAAATTGTTTTGGAAGTTGTAGACCATAGAGGTGACTCATGCACAATTTATCTGGTGGGTGGCGGTAATGCGCTATGTCACTCCCGTATTCGTCCCGGAAACCGGATTCGTCCGGAAGTTCAGTTTGATCCAATGAGCATACGCAGCAGTAGATTACGTCACGGAATCTGGACGGAAGCGGAAGTAAATATAAAAAACTACCTATTCATGCCTAAACTTAACCAGCCATTCCCATAAAATAACCCCAACCCAGCCTTAACCCTAAACTTAACCATCTTACTCAGACGCCTAAAATTAACCAGTCACCACTTAAGGACATATTAAACTTTTTGACATGCGCAAACTGAACTTCCGGACGAATCCGGTTTCCGGGACGAATACGGGAGTGACACGCTATACAAGCAACCGCCGTTAAACAACCAAAGAAGAAGCTCCCCACACGCGCAAACGTCATCAACACGCGCAGACGTCATCAACACGCGCCTCCGATACATCCATGGTTACTGTACAACCAAAACCCCTTGACAGCACTCTGCTCTCTGCCCTCTCCCCGCTACGGCTCACAGTCAGCCCGGGTCATTCCCAGCCTCAGTCCGGGAGCTGACGTGGAGCTCCAGCCTCGTCCCTCTCGCACCATGGCCCAGGTGAAGCTGGAGCAGACGCCGCGGGAGGACAGGTCAGTGCACGGCCTCTGTCCTGACTGCGTGTCCTGCTGTGATGCTAGCGCGTTAGCATCATAGACTGTTAGCATCTCTGTTTGTCATCGTTTTTATTTTTTTTATTTTTTATTTTTTATTATTTTTATTATTATTATTATTATTATTATTATTTTATTATTATTATTATTTTTGTTTGTTTGTTTGTCATCGTTTCCACGTGTTGTTTGTCCGTTGTGCGTCAGTATCACACGTCACTTTCTGTTAAAACGTCCTGAACACAATAGAAAGCAGCATTAACGGCTCTGCATTTAACACCAGGTCTCTGAGAATTCTAAAACTACTAGAATCTTGAAAATGTCCCAAAAAGTTTGAGTGTTCCTTCAGTTTTGTTCGAAGTATGTAATCTAATATGTGCAAAAAGGCTATATATAAACTAAGATTACTTACTGCTTAAAATAGTTTATTGAAAGGCTACCAAATGCTAACCTGTCGCAAGTAAGTAAGTGTGTTGCTATGGTAACAAGCACTTGCTCTTCTCTAGTGGAAAACCAAGAGCATTAACTAAAGGTAAGGCAAGTCACATAAAAAGATTATTGTATATAAGTATTTGCAAAGAAATTAACTACTTATAGAGACCTAAAGTCACACATCTATAAGCAGAAACATACATTTATAATTAATTTATTTAATTATTTACGAATTTACTTACGCCTACCTATTTTTGGCTTTGATTACTGTGCTGAACTTTGTATATAAGTAGAACTGTGTGGAACTCAGATGCTCAAATAAAAAAGATGAATTGAATTGAATACATGAGATGAGTAATTCTTCTTCCAAAACTACGTGTATCAAATTAACTGATTCTGACTCCAATATAAACCTGATCACAAATTTACATTACTTATTTTGGAATTGAATTGTAGCATCTCTGGTTTGTACCTGCTGAAGAGACACCGCCCTTAAACAAATACACCACTGAGTGAATACTTAATTTAATTGTAGTAATGAATGAATTGGCCTGTTTAAAGCCCCTGTTATAAATGCTGTAAGACTAAAGTCATGAAACACCTGCTCTTTTGTTCCAGTGTGAACCTGAACCTGGCCCAGAATCAGGACCTGAACTTGAAGCAGGACCCAGACTGTGGAGGTGAGGGACTGAATCACATTTTACTCAGCGCATTAAAGGTTTCATTCAAATTAAAAACTTTTCATCAAAGTGTTTCACAGTTAACTCCTGTGAAGGCATTATTTCTTTGACCTAGGGCTGGGCGATAAAACGATAACGATATATATCGCGATAGACATGTGTTCGATATCAATAGAGAATGGGGTCGATAGAATGTTCGATAGTTTAACTTAACTCCGTCAGGAAAAACAGGAAGAAAACACCGGAAGTAAAGCCGACTCATAAGCGCATGGCATTGTGGGGGATGTAGGCAGAGGCTTCTCGACCAATAACAGCCGAGCAGGAACCGCAAAACTTTGTGGGAAATGCAAAAACAACAACAACCGCAGCATGCGTAGGGTCCATGGATCTATAGCTCGTGTTTCAATGCCGTGTCAATGGTTATGCACGTACGTGCGCGGAATAACATGTGCGGCGGCAGAGGCAGTGGACAGACACGATGTATTCGGCGAAAGCAAGAGATTAACTTTTTCCTCTGGAAGCATGTGCGGCACAGAGAGCCGCACGGAGCGGTCACGGGGACACAAGACCCTCAAACAGCTAAACCAGGAGCTAAACCAGGAGCTAAACCAGGAGCTAAACCAGGAGCTAAACCAGGAAAAAAACCAGGATTAAACCAGGACTAACAACGAGGGACACAGTGGGAACATATTCCTCCAGCCTCATCGCCCCGTGACTGTAAACAAGGCTGCTAAGGTTGGTTAGCCCACACCACAAATATATTTATTTAGGTTAAAAAAAAAAACTCAATATATATCGTTATCGACCGATAGGAATGACTTATATCGTGATATAGTTTTCAGCCATATCGCCCAGCCCTACTGTGACCTGATTGATTTTATGATATTTGGCAGAGGTTTGGCCGTGATGCAAACAAACCAAAGCTGCGTCTGACGCACTTTCACTAAAATTTAGCTGCATGGGTTTAGTAAATCTGATGTAAGGCTCTGCAATGCCGCATAACGCAAGCGTAAGTGGTGGGTGGGCTTTGATGCAGACAATTGAGCTCACAGCTTTTAGTGCAAGGTTCTTCAACACAAGTGCAGCTCCGCAGTCACTGCGCCCTGAGATCCTCCATAGATATCTGATGCCGCAGGATCTTCTCACTGAGCTGCACTATGGATATATTAACAACGGGTACTTCCTCATCTGTGGTCACGTTAGCAGCAGTTTACTTTCACAGTAGAATGAGAACTCAGGGTGAAGACACAAGCGCTGTGTTGTTCACTTTGCGCCTGAACACATCCTTAATTGATTATTCAATGTTTTCCATGGAACCTGCACTTAGTGCTGCTGCAGACTCCTGTTCACTTCAGCGGTGGACACGTCAGTTTGACCAATTGTTCCAGTTATAATTACATGATGTCACCGCTTTCATACGAGCCGCTGTACCCGGTGGTCCTCAGGAGAACGTCAGCTCTCGATCAGTCCACTTGTATACGGTCTATGGTCCAGCTCCACTGGTCTTTGCTTTGATCTGAGACTTGTGGAAGTCCACAATCCTTTTTCTGAGGTCTTTGCTGATTTCTTGAAGTTTGAGTCTGAGGTGCACCGACCTCTGGTCCTTTAATGACAGTGACCTGGTGTAAATATTGCAGACCTTTTCTAACGTGTCACTGTTTCCTTGCAGATGTCGAGAGCTTTATTCTTCCCTTTGTGAAAACGGAACCAGAGGAGTTTTACATCCCAGCCTTCCAGGAGTCATCTGCCTTTTACCAATCTATAAAACAGGAAAACGAAAGTTCAGACTGCGACACAGATGACTCTGAAGACTGCAGCTCCGACAGTTCTTTGGAGGAAACACACAAATGCTCCAAATGTTGGAAGGTGTTTGGCTCCAGCTTGGGTTTGAAGATCCATAATCTAAAGATGCATAAGGACATGGGGCCCCTCAGTTGCCCCGTCTGTGGAAAAACTTTTAAGCATGAGAGGAGCAAGTTGCATCACCTCAAGTACACGGTTTGTGCAAAACAATACAAGAAGATGACGCAGCCCTTGCACACCGTCACCCAAGGGAAGCCGGACAACTGCCCACTTTGTCTTAAAGTTAAAAACCAGTGTATAGAATGTGGAGAACGTTTCACTTCACAATATGATCTGACGCTGCACCAAAGAATTCACGAGGTGTTACCATTCCATTGTTCGTTTTGCTCAAAGGGCTTCTGCCAAATTGGCTCTCTGGAATTGCACGCCAGGACTCACACAGGGAAATGGCCCTTCCTCTGCTCCATTTGTGGGAAGGGTTTTGTGCGGCTGGGAAACCTGAAGCAGCACGTAGAGAACCACAAAACAAAGTCGGGAAACGGTTCGGAAACATCAGCTCACCTCGACTTTCTCCAGCAGCAAGTGATGAAACCTCACCTCCACCTCACGTGTCCCTTATGTCCAAAGGTTGATCAACCAGAAAGTCGTCTTCAGCGGCACATGGGAAATGATCAGCAGGAGGATCGCCAGAAGCACATGGACAATCACAAGAAGAGGACCTATTCTGCTTGTGGAGAAAAGCTCAACTTTGAGACGCTCAAATGTCAGTTTTGCTCAGAAGAATTCCCAAAGATGATTCTACTGAAGCGACATATGCAGACTCACATCATGGCAAAGACTCCAGAGGAAAAACAGAAGGGGACTAAGAAGACCAGAGCAATAAAATCTACAGTCTGCAGTTTGGAGTTGGAAAATCGCACTGAGCTGATGACACATGTTGAAACGCACTCTGGGGAGAAGCAGCTCCTCTGCCGGGTTTGTGGGAGGACGTTTAAGACTTCTGGAACTCTGCTGCTCCACATGAGAGCGAAACATCACAGTTCCACGGGTGACGGGAAGCTTGGGGCGGAAGGAAAGGGTTCTGTGGACTTTCTGACAAACGATCCAGTAATCAGCCGCTTGAACATAATGGATTCATTCCCACCGAGCGAAAAACCCAGGGTGCCTCTATGCTCGGGCTGGCGTGTCGTTTTGACTCGCCTCTCAACCCGCCTGTTGACCTATTCCTGAGGTGTCCAAACTTTATAGTTAGAGGCCCAATTAAGCTCGGCAAAGGTGTCCAGTGGCTGACTATATGGATTGACTGGATTGGGGCTGTTCTGAGATCTAAAATGAGGTATGCCATATATGGTCACATTTGACGGTGCTACAGTTGGCTGAATGACTACGGTTAGCATAGTCATTGCTGGATTCCAGAGATCCTGAGCTTCACAAGGTGTAACATGAAGAGCTGAAGTTGGCTGGATGACACTGCACTTATTTTAGCTACAGAGGGACGCATTTGGCTGTGGACCTCAGTTTGGACATGGCTGACCTCATGCAAATGCAGAGGGCACACTACGGCCAAATAAAGTTAGACTTAGACTGTTAGATCACTAGGACCCCTGTGCTTGACTTTCCTCCTCCCAACACGATTGGTCATTATGACTGCTGTAAATATGCAGTCAAATATCTTATGTGTAATACATTTGTTTTTCTTACCATTTAGAAACTACCACAGCGTACTACTGTTGTCCTGGGCTGCAGTGTGAGCCCTGATCCAGGGAGGAGAAGCTGCAGACAGAGGGAACGTCTCTGGATGTGAAGAAGTGATCTAATAAAGTCATTACAATGTAGCTCCTTAGCACTGAATACTGATGCAATCCACCTGCTGGAGTTTAGCAAGCTACTGTACAAAATCTGTGTGTTCATTTTTGTACCTGGTTTCATTTGGGGATAGTTTTTGTTTAACAAAGGTGAAAATTAACTGGCAACCCAAATGAGAGCCTCATTCTGCTCTGATAGACCCATCGACCCTGTGCACTAGAAAATTAGATATATATATCCAGAAATGGATTAAGGGGAAGAAAATGGATGGATGGATATATATATATATATCAGGGTTTCCTCCAGAGGGGGGGATGGGGGGGATCAGTCCCCCCCTAGCCATGGCCCTAGGGGGGGATATCCCCCCCTCAAGTTTCTTAGACATGCATGTATACAATTCTCACATCAAAAAGTGCAATAAATCAGAAACTTCCATACAGGAAAAATGTGTTCTGAATCGGAGTCTCCTCTCCTCCTTTTATGTACATGCTTTTTTATGAATTTGTGTTATGTGAATGGCTCTGAAATGTAGACACTGAATAAATTCTACACAAAACAAATATTGCAACAAAAAGTTTTTATTATAACCTTGAGAGAAAGGCTTCAGAGGAGAGCGCTAATCTTCATCTCTCTTCAAATGCTTTGAGCTTCACTGCTGCCTCTTATGTTAAATGTCTCACCAGGGCATCCGCAATCACGCTGCTGTGGACCTACAGTCTGTCCGTCTGCAGCAGTTGATCCTTCTCTCTCTGTGGGCCTCCCTGTGTCCGTGCTTATGCAGGAAGGGTCTAAGGACAGTGATGGCACGTTGAATGTTTTATAATAGATGGATGCTGATCCCATCTGCAACAATATCTGCCTGGAACATTCAGGAAAAAGTCATCCACTTCAAATGTTTCTAAAATGTAATGAAATGTATATCATGATCTTATTATTCATTGGTTTTAAAACATTTAATCTAAACCTGTTAAGCCACTCTCAAAAAGTGTAAAAAGAAAATGTGATAATCACATGATAAAATGAGCAAACCCCTGTATGTAGGCAAGGCATGGGCTAGTTTATTTGTACAGCACAATTCATACACAAGGCAACTCAAAGTGCTGAACAAAATAAGAAAGCATTGAAATAATAATCACAGAACATTAAAAAGAAAGATAAAAGTATAAAATCCCTCAGTTGTATGCACAGCTAAACAGAACTGTCTTTAACCTGGTTTTAAACATTGTCAGAGAGGAGGCCTGTCTCACACTTTCAGGAAGATTGTTCCAGATTTTAGCAGCATGAATCTGAAAAGCTGGAAAACTCTGGACACTAACAGGAGTCCAGTCCCTGTGCTCCTCAGAGTCCCAGCAGGAGTCCAGTCCCTGTGCTCCTCAGAGTCCAGTCCCTGTGCTCCTCAGAGTCCGGGCTGGTTCATATGGGACTAACATGTCACTAATATATTTTGGTGCGAGGCCATGGAGAAACTTGTAACAAGCAGAGCTGTTTTAAAGTCTATTCTCTGAGCCACAGGAAGCCAGTGCAGAGACCTGAGGACTGGACTAATATGGTCGTACTTCCTGGTATGTACATTATATTCTTTATTTTTTTGTGCACTAACAATACTGATTTTAAATCATTGGATCATTTTAAATAACATTTGACTTTGGTGTAACAGGGAGAGTGGAGGTATAAAAAACGGGACATTTATTGCCCTGAAGCAGAGTCATAATGCAGTGTTCAGGACACAGCCTCAGTGTGTTCTGAGGCTGAAGTCCAAACAGAATCCTTTCTCTTCTGAGCCTCAATCCTGCAACAGAGACGAGAACAAGTTCAGTCAGAAAATTATGGACTCCCTTGAAATGGTCGACATGTGGAGGGTAAAACTCCAAAATCCATTAAATACACAGAGAAGACCACGCCAGGCCAGAAAATGCTCTTTTCCCTAAACAGAAGATAAACTGCAGATTATTTTGATTTCCTTATAAATGATTGTTTGTTTGGATAAGACATTTCAGGTTAATGTGCTCCGTGTGTCTCCTATGATCAATTTAACTGACATATATTATCCAAACAACCTGTGATTTATAAAAGAAAATCACTGTAATGGCTGCTGTTTCCCTGAAGAAAACTAGCTGCTGGTCTGCCATCAGTCTGTACAAAAGAACACATGGCTAAAGGGTGTAAAAATGAATACAAATATTTAAAAAATCCATCCCATATAAAACCTTTAGTGAATGGAAAGACCTAATCGACAAACCTCTTCCTTGGGAGGAAGTTTTCAGTTTACAATATCAGACAGCAATAGACAAACACTCAATTTTCAAACAAAATAAATTGAGGGTTCAAATCAACAGACAGTTCTCGTTGTGTTTCAGAGCCGGAGATTGTCATTTTTTTGTTGTCTGAAGTCAAGTTTTGAACTCAAGAACAGCAGATGTTAAAGGCATTGCATTTGAAGCATCAACAGTGTCTTTGAACGGTTTTTAGGATATATACAGGTCAATCTGAGCAAGGGGAGTTAACCTGATTATACTATTGGCAAAAACATATTTACTCTGGTAAAAGTGACAAACCTTTAGAATAATAATATTTCTAATGTGCTTCACTAGACACTCAAGGTCACCTTTACATGTAAGTAAAAAGTACATTTAGTGAAACTACAGTTAAAAGCATTGTGTGGTCATGATGTTAGTGAGTTTACACTTAGGTCTAAACAGATGAGTTTTAAAAACAAATGGATTTGAAGAGTTTGAGTGAGTCTGTTACGGAGGTGAGAGGGGGGAGAGTGTTCCAGAGACTTTTTATGGATATCTTTGAGAAATGGCTTTGTTCTTGCCACTCTTCCATAAAGGCCAGATTTGTGCAGTGCACGACTGATTGTTGTCCTATGGACAGACTCTCCCACCTCAGCTGTAGTTATCTGCAGTTCATCCAGAGTGATCATGGGCCTCTTGTCTGCATCTCTGATCAGTCTTCTCCTTGTTTGAGATGAAAGTTTGGAGGGACGGCCGGGTCTTGGTAGATTTGCAGTGGTCTGATACTCCTTCCATTTCAATATAATTGCTTGCACAGTGCTCCTTGAGATGTTTAAAGCTTGGGAAATCTTTTTGTATCCAAATCCGGCTTTAAACTTCTCCACAACAGTATCTCGGACCTGCCTGGTGTGTTCCTTTGTCTTCATGGTTCTCTCTGTGCTTTAAACAGAACCCTGAGACTATCAAAGAGCAGGTTCATTTATACGGAGACTTGATTACACAGAGGTGCATTCTATTTATCATCATCAGTCATTTAGGACAACATTGGATCATTCAAAGATCCTCACTGAACTTCTGGACTGAGTTTGCTGCACTGAAAGTAAAGGGGCCGAATAATATTGCACGCCCCACTTTTCAGTTTTTTATTTGTTAAAAAAGTTTAAATTATCCAATAAATTTCATTCCACTTCACGGTTGTGTCCCACTTGTTGTTGATTCATGACAAAAAAAATTATATCTTAATGATTGAAGCCTGAAATGTGGCGAAATGTTGAAAGGTTCAAGGGGGCCAAATACTTTCGCAAGGCACTGTAGCTTTTTACTTTGGACTAGAGCAGAGAAAATGGTCCTAACCAAGAGGCTACTCCACTTTGTGACCCGTCCTGCTCCACCCAGGGGCTACTCCACCTCTGCTGCTGTGACCCGTCCTGCTCCACCCAGGGGCTACTCCACCTCTGCTGCTGTGACCTGTCCTGCTCCACCCAGAGACTACTCCACCTCTGCTGCTGTGACCTGTCCTGCTCCACCCAGAGACTACTCCACCTCTGCTGCTGTGACCTGAAGGGCTGTTGCTGATTATTACTATTGTTAGATTTTTAGAATGATCAATTTTATTTTTATTTTTGCTTCTAGTGGACACCTGAATTTCTCCTACGGGGATCAATAAAGTATCTATCTATCTAATCCCTTCTGAGAAAGAGAAGGAGCATTATCTAAAGTGGTGGGCTAGCATTATACAATTTGCAACAAGGAGAAAACATTCTGTAAAAAGGTCTCTCTCTCACATAAACTTTGTAAACGTGTACATCTGACATAGAGAACTCTTCCATTAGACTCATGCATTGGCAAAGTGTTCTGCTTCGTTAAAGAGCCACAGGAGGATTCATTTAACATGTACATGATTCTAATGTGTATGTGGATGTATCATGCCAGTTAGTTCATCAACATGTAGGAGTTTTTGTTGTTGTTTTCTCTTTTGACACTTGACCTTTTGTTGGGTGTTGTTGTTGAAGGGGATGTCATAGACGGTGAGGTGAGTGGACGTGAAGAGGACCGTTTGTTTGCTGTTTTATGTTGTTGTTGCAGTTGTTTTTTTGTATTGTTTGAACAATTTTTAATAAGAAATAATAAGCTAAAAAAAAAAAAAATAGATACTTGTTTTCCCCTCTGTCCTTTACGGGTTACTTCTACAGAGCTCTGGTTCTGAAACAAACAGCTTTTTCTCAGTAAACACAGTGATAGGTCCTGGTCCCGTCCTGGTCCCGTCCTGGTCCCGTCCTGGTCCCGTCCTGGTCCCGTCCTGGTCCCGTCCTGGTCCCGTCCTGGTCCCGTCCTGGTCCCGTCCTGGTCCCGTCCTGGTCCCGTCCTGGTCCCGTCCTGGTCCCGTCCTGGTCCCGTCCTGGTCCTTTCACAGCAACAGTTCTTACTCAGCGCAGAACTCTGGAGGAATACTCATGGATCTGGATCTTCTCAGCTTTGGTCTCATGCTTCTTTCTTCAGCTTCAGACCCATGTTGTCTCCCACGGCTGTAAACAACAGGTTATTTCTTGTTTCAGATTATGAACTGTATAAAGGAACATGGATCTGAACAAGCACCTGTTTTTGTGTGCAGCTCCACACATGTCCACACGGGGGCGCTGCAGCTCTGTCATTACATCTGCACAAACAAGAGGGAGTCTTTAAAGCTACACAGTTTGTTTCTAATGTCCTACTCTGAAAACATTTGTTAGACTTGTCATTGTGTTTAGTAATGTATTGTATGTCTTTAAGTACTATTTATCCATTTTCTTATGCTTCATCCGTTGCCGGGTCGCGGGGACAGCAGCAGTGGCGGAGCCAGAGGTGTAGCCAGGGTGGCCACTGCCACCTCTAAAAATACCCTTGCCACCCCCAGTGCCCCCTTCGGAAGACGGCAATGTAATAATGTTAATCTTGAGAATCTTCCGCACTTTTTCCGCCAAAAAGTACAAATTCCCACGGTTTCCCCCATCTGTGAACGCACCCTGACTGTGTGGAGGCGGTGCTGTATGCTAATGCTTTTCATGGGTTGTTGGACCGCGGTGAAGTTAGTTTGAAGTTGGATATCGGACAGACATTCGCCGCAACATTTAAGTGCACCCGTACTACACACAGTACGGTAAACACGCGGAGACATGTACGCTGGTCTAATATTTACATATAAAAAATCATTAAAAATACTTACAACATTTTAATGATAAAATAAGAGGTGTACCCCCTGCAGCTAGTGGAGGACTATGATCCTGACCTGATTTGGAGTCAATAGGTCACATGACCTGGAAGCTATTGAGCTAAAATGCTAATATTTACATATAAAAATTCATCAAAAATACTTAAAAATACTTAAATGACAAAAAAAGAGGTGTACCCCCTGCAGCTAAGGGAGGACTATGATCCTGACCTGATTTGGAGTCAATAGGTCACATGACCTGGAAGCTATTGAGCTAAAATGCTAATATTTACATATAAAAATTCATTAAAAATACTTAAAAATACTTAAATGACAAAAAAAGAGGTGTACCCCCTGCAGCTAGTGGAGGACTATGATCCTGACCTGATTTGGAGTCAATAGGTCACATGACCTGGAAGCTATTGAGCTAAAATGCTAATATTTACATATAAAAATTCATTAAAAATACTTAAATGACAAAAAAAGAGGTGTACCCCCTGCAGCTAAGGGAGGACTATGATCCTGACCTGATTTGGAGTCAATAGGTCACATGACCTGGAAGCTATTGAGCTAAAATGCTAATATTTGCCTTTAAAAATGCATTGGGTTGGCGTGACTTCCGGTAAGCAGTACTGCAGGGCTGCTCTGTGCACCTTTTTAGTAAACTTTTAACAACTTTTTAGCGCGTTTTTATTGTTCAGTTTTTTAATATATCTGAGTGTTTTATGTTATTAATTCAGTGGTTTCAGCAAATAGCGCTTAGTCCCGACTGAAACCCACTAGTAGCACAGAGGCTAACACAAGCTAACGAGGACATGGAAAGTGACAATGAAATTGGCTCAAACATGCACAATATTAGTCGCCTCACCTTGGAGCTCCGTGAGAGCGACCGTGCCACCATTGCAGAACTACGAAAAGAAGTCCTTCGTCTCACCGCAGAGTTGAATGAGAAACAATCTCTAGTGTCCAAACTTTTTGAAGTCGCTGGTGGGCAGCATTCACGGCTGATGTCACTGAGCGCTGCATATTGTGACACTGTCGTGTGGGAGAGATCCGTCAGCTCCGGACCCTCCTGTTCTACACCTAAGCGCCCGGTTCCGAACAACGAGCCCGCGGATTCCGAGGAGCCATCCTGCGCCGTGGCCCATGTCCTTAGTCTGGCAAACCGCTATGCAGCCCTCTCCACTGACATCCCGGCCCCCTCAGCAGAATCCCTGGACACTGCAGCGTACTCTGCTGCTCGAGGATCCAAGTCCACTGCGAGGAAAACGCTCCTAAAGGAAGCAGTCCTCAGGCGAAAGAGCGGTCCACCAGCCATGTTGGCCTGTTCCCCTTCTTTGACCCCAGTGCAGCAGCCTCAGACTGGGGTAGCGAGCCATCATTACCATCGCTCACCTCCACCGGGTCAGCAGCAGCGCCCAGAGCCAGCCCCTCTCACCGCTCCAGCGTCCCCGAGCACACAGCGTGGGTCGCCTGTAGCTGAGAGTCAGCACCCCCGCTCCTCCTCTCCATGTGTTCAGCGGCGCTCAGGCTCGGGTCCTGCTTCGGGTGAACCCGCTGGTTCCGTCCACCGAGCTCCTTCTCCGAGGCCACTCTTCGCCCCGACCACTCTGATTATTGGAGATTCCATCGTGAGACACGTCCGCTTCTTTAACGCGGTCACTCGCTGTATTCCCGGAGCTACTGTACCAGACCTGCTCATACGTCTCCCTCCTCTGCTTCAGTCCCTGCCTGATACCGTTTCCAAGGTAGTCGTGCATGTGGGAATTAACGACATGAAACTTCAGCAGTCAGAAGTCACGAAGAAACATTTTATGGATCTGTTCCACCTCCTTCAATCCACGGGATTATCTGTTTTTATCTCTGGTCCAATCCCGACTGTAAACAGAGGTGACTGCCTCTACAGTCGTGTTGTGGCGCTGCATATGTGGATCCAGGCTACATGCAGCTCTTTTAACTTTGTCTTTGTGAATAACTTTGCCCTTTTCTGGAAACGTAACGAAGCCTATCGTCCAGACGGATTACACCCAAACAGATACGGTAGCAGCCTGTTGATGGGCTACATGCGTTACGTTGTTCAGCGTTCCCCGAGGGGGGCGTGACTGTTTACATCTGAGCCCCCTCGGACCCCACCGCACTCCCCCGCCTCCTGCTCACCAGCACCGGGTGAGTACAACGGTGCAAACACTGCTCCCTGTCCGTCTGGCAGTGTATTACCAGTCCAAACACTGAACTGTGCTGACTCCCTTCTGACTCTGGGAGCTAAAGAACAACAAGGGTTTTCACATTTTAGTCCAATTGAGACTGTGTGTGTTCCTCGCACCAGCTCAAAAATGTTTTTAAATTCTAAAAAACGAAATCAAAACAGGACAGCAGTTAGACGGTCCAACTCTGCAAATCTAATTTCTGTTCCCTGTAGAAATCAATCAACCACATTAATCGACTCTGACGTTATTTTTAAACTTGCTTGCTTGGGCGGCACGGTGGCTGAGTGGATAGCACTCTCGCCTCTCAGCAAGAAGGTCCTGGGTTCGAATCCCGGTCGGACCAGGGCCTTTCTGAGTGGAGTTTGCATGTTCTCCCCGTGTCTGCGTAGGTTTCCTCCGGGTGCTCCGGTTTCCCCTACCACTAAAAATATGTCCAATAGTTCTGGCATGCGCCTCCTGTACTGGCCCCGCTCCCATCTCTGTGTGGAGTGAGAGACAAATGCCCAAAATTAACAATTGTAAACCGCTTTGAGACTCAGATCTGCAGTGAAAAGGCGGTATATAAATAAAAACTTACTTACTTACTGCTATGCTTAATGTCAGATCTCTATGTAACAAATCATTTTTAATTAATAATTTTATCACTTCTTATGATCTTGATTTTATGCTTATGGCTGAAACATGGCTGGACCAAAATACAGGAAATGCAGTTCTAATAGAAGCAACACCACCCAATTTTAAATTCGAATCCGAAGTACGAGAAAACAAAAGGGGGGGAGGCATAGCTGCAGTTTTTAGAGAGCACTTTGTCTCCCATAGAATGCCCCTTGGAAATTTTTCATCGTTTGAGTATATTTCTTTTAAAATGGAACAAAAGCAATCTTCTACTCTTTTCATTGTCCTGTACAGGCCACCACAGTCATGTTGCGATTTTATTGACCATTTTACTGAACTACTTTCATTCGTGTGCACAGATTTTGATAGTTTAGTTATTACAGGTGATTTTAATGTACATGTTGATAATGTTGATGACAGAAATGCAAAGGAGCTGGCTTCTGTACTTGAGACCTTTGGTTTCATTCAGCACGTGAGTGGCCCCACCCACAGCAGGGGGCACACTCTTGACCTGCTAATTACAAAGGGGGTTAATGTATCAAATGTTAATGTAGTTGATGTTGCTTTGTCAGATCATTTCTGTGTATTTTTTGACATGTGTTTTGCTAGCAAACCACCAGCTGAATTTACAATTGCTAGAAGAAGACACATACATGAAAACACAAGTGAACTGTTCATGGGAATGCTAAATTTTGAGAAAACTCCATGCTCTACTGTTGATGAATTGTATAACTCTGTCACCACCAGTGTTCTGAATGTTCTGGACGCCATTGCTCCTGTGACGGTTAAAATAGTTACCAGTAAGAAAAAGGCCCCATGGACTAAGGCAGACTCGGTCAGGGCACAGAAGCAATGAGTGCCGGAGGGCCGAACGGAAGTGGCGAAAGTCCAATTTCCAGGGAGATTATGAAATCTTTAAAGATGAGTTGGGTGCCGAACAAGAGAAATGTATTTTTCTGACATTATTGGAGGTTGCAGTAACAATTTTCGTGTTAGTTTTCAACAGTTGGTAGATTAACGAACCCCCCTGTAAAGTTGCCCCTAGAATTTTCCTCTAAATCTAGGTGTAATGAGTTCGCACAGTTTTTCGATGACAAAGTACAAGGAATCTAAAAACACTATCACCTCCACAGCACGTATAACAATGCAACAGCCAGAGAAGCTTTTTGAGCTAACTCACTTTGCACCTGTGGATACTGAAACTGTCAAAAAGATAATCATGAGTCTGAGCTCCTCCACATGTTAGCCTGGATATATTGCCCTCTAAATTTCTGAAGTCCGTCCTGAGCAGTTTGTTACCTTCACTGACACAAATAGTAAACATGTCTCTGTCGTCAGGAACATTTCCTATGGCCCTAAAAACAGCAGTCATAAGACCTCTCCTAAAAAAGAGCAGTCTGGATCCTGCGGGACTTCAAAATTATCGCCCCATATCGAATCTGCCATTCATTGGAAAAATTCTTGAAAAAGTGGCCTCCCAACAACTTACTGAATTTTTAACAATGAATAATTCTTTTGATATGTTCCAGTCTGGGTTTAGACCCCACCACAGCACTGAGACCGCTCTAGTGAAGGTAACAAACGACATTCGACTTCACACTGATGCAGGTAAAGTCACAGTTTTGGTCATGTTAGATCTTAGTGCCGCGTTCGACACTGTCGACCATGAGATCCTCATGCAGAGACTGGAGGACTGGGTTGGTGTCACTGGCACAGCCCTAGACTGGTTTAGGTCTTACCTGGAGGATAGGAAGTACTTTGTGGAGATTGGAGACTGCGTCTCAGATCATGTGGCCCTGACCTGTGGAGTACCACAGGGGTCGATCCTGGGACCTCTCCTATTTAATCTCTACATGCTGCCGTTAGGTCAGTTAATACAAAGAAACAAAGTGTCCTACCACAATTACGCCGACGACACTCAGATCTATGTCTCACTGACTGCAGGAGAACATGGACCACTGGATTTGCTCCTTCACTGTATCCAACAGATCAGTGAGTGGATGCAAAATAATTTCCTCCAGCTAAATGCAGACAAAACTGAAATCATTGTCTTTGGTCCCCAGAAACAAAGAGAGGGCGTCATCTGTCAACTTCAGTCTCTCTCCCTACTTCCTTCAGACAAGGTCAGAAATTTTGGGGGTTATACTGGACTCAGACCTAAATTTCAATAGCCACATAAAATCAATAACATCAACAGCTTTTTACCATCTGAAGAACATTGCCAAAGTCAGAAATATAGTGTCCAGGGCAGACTTGGAGATTCTTGTCCACGCATTTGTCTCCAGCAGGCTAGACTACTGCAATGGCCTGCTTACAGGTCTGTCCAAACAGACCTGTAAGCAGCTGCAGTACATCCAAAATGCAGCAGCTAGAGTCCTGACAGGAACCAGGAAGTATGACCATATTAGTCCGGTCCTCAGGTCTCTGCACTGGCTTCCTGTGGCTCAAAGAATAGATTTTAAAACGGCTCTGCTTGTGTACAAGTCTCTCCATGGCCTTGCACCAGAATACATTAGTGACATGTTGGTGTCATATGAACCAGCCCGGACTCTGAGGAGCTAAGACATGAAAAAAACCTTTTGTGTGATTTTATTGTTTTTATTGTGTTTTTAATCTTTTGTGTGATTTTAATGTTTTAATTGTGATTCTGGTGTTTGTTTTATGTGATGATTTGTGATGTGGAACAAGCGCTTTGTGTTGCCCTGTGCATGAAAGGCGCTCTGAAAAAAACCACATCACTTGTCCGTTATGCCCAAAGACTTATCAAACAAAACTTGGCCTGAAGATGCACATGGGAACTCACACAGAGCTGCCATTCGGATGTTCAGTTTGTAAGACCCGTTTTAACCAGCAAGAGGATCTACAAAAGCACATGGACAGTCACAAGAAGAGCTATTTGAGTTGCCAGGAAAAGCTTGACTTCGAGACACTCAAATGTCAGTTTTGCTCAGAAGAATTTCCTAAACCAATTTTTCTGAAGCGACATATGCAGATTCACATCACAGCAAAGACTCTGGAGGAAAAACAGAAGCGGATTAAGAAGACTAGACCACTGAAATGTACAATCTGCAGTTTGGAGTTTGAAGATCGCACTGAGCTGATGTCACACGTCGGGACCCACTCTTGGGGGAAGCTAATCGGCTGCTGGGTTTGTGGGAAAGGGTTCACACTGCTGAAGAATATGCTGCAACACGTGAAAGAGAAACATCAGAGTGCGATCCGTGACGAGAAGCTAGAGTCTGGAAGAAGTCAAAGTGAAACTGTTCCTTCTGAGCCTCCCGGTCGCTCTGTGGACTCTCCGACCAATGAGTCATCAAAAAACATCCATTGTTTGCGAATGACCAGTTCAGTCTCTATAGGAAAGAAGGAAAATCAAAGGCAGACCGTTCACGTAGAGGAGAGATTGAACTTGTCTCCTGCTCGTTCAGTGGATTTTCCGACAAATAGTTCATTAAAAAGTAACATGCAAACGATGGACACAAGCTCAGTCTCTGATTTTCTTTCTTTCCTTCAAAGACAAACCGTTCACGTAGGAGAGATACTGCTCTTGTCTCCTGGTTGTTCGC